CAGCCACAGCTTCTCTGGGCAACCTGGGCCAGGGCCTCCCCACCCTCACAGGAAAAGTTTCTCCCCAGTATTCCGTCTAACCCTGCCCTCTGGCAATGGTTTCCAGGGCTGTGGGGCACTCAAATTCCTGTAGGTACCCAAACTCTTGGGCACCTGAGCAGTGGGGACAACCCAGCTGTAGGGACAGCTGAGCTCTGGGGGAGCACCCAGAGCCCTGCGGGGTCCTGGGGCTGTGGGTACACAGGAGCTGTGAACTGACCCAAGCCATGGGGGCACCCGAGGGGGTGGGGGGCACAGGGCAGGATGGGGCCGGGGCAGTGCCTGTCCTGGCACAACCCCGTGCAGTCACACCACCCTTGGCACGGCCGGGCTCGGGGCTGAGTCAGCAGCAGTGGCCCGGCGAGCAGAGGCGCGTTTGCTGGATCACCTCCTCCAGAAACCCTCCCAAGCCCTCCGGAGGGCAGAGAAGCCGCGGTTCAAAGCGCCGGTACCTGCCCCGATCCCCGCCCCGCCTCTCTGAGCCCTCCGGGGCCGGCGGGCCGCGCTGGGGAGCGGCCGGGCTCAGCTCCCGGGGCCACGCAGCAGGATGCGGCCCCGGGCAGGGCTCCCTGCGCTGGCCCCGGGGCAGGGAGGGCACACTGGGGCAGCCGAGGCCGTGACCGAGCAGAGGACAGTGCAGGACCTGTCCTGGGTTGAGAAGGACTAACCGAGCCGGGTGGGATGATCCCAGATGGGCATCCCGAGGGTGGCACCCACAGCCTGATCCCGAGCACTGAGGGGCCCCAGCGTGAGCAAAGGACACCCAGCACCGTCCCCTCCAAGGGATAAAGCCCCCCCAGAGCCCCGAGAGCCTGGGAAGGAGGGTTTCACAGCAGGCCTTATCTCTCCCCACAGTCTGTGGTGAAGCTGGACGGCGGGAAACTCGTCCACGTGCAGAAGTGGGACGGGAAGGAGACATCGCTGGTGCGGGAGCTGAAGGATGGGAAGTTAACTCTGGTAAGGAGAGGGTGTTAAACCCGGGAAGGGCTCGGCCCAGGGCAGGCCAAGAGCTGCACTAACCCCTCTCTCATCATCTGCCCCCAGACTCTCACCATGGGCAACGTGGTCTGCACCCGCACCTACGAGAAGGCGACATAGACGCTGCCCCAGCCCCTGCTGCCACCAGTGCCACGTCCACCCCACACCCCACACCCCACCCGTGCTGGGCACAGCTCCACATGGCACTGGAGCCGCTGCACCGCCAGGACCTCCTGCTGTCCCCACCCCGGAGCCCCCCCGGGCCTGGGGGTGGGTTTGTGGTTTCTTGTTGGGGTTGTTTTTTTTAATTAATAATGGGAAAACTCGCATGGAAAAAGAATAAAGGCCGTGTTGTTACAGCTCTGTGGTCGGTTTGCTTGGAAAAGGCTGGTCTGGCATGTGCCCATCTGTAGTGTTCAGCCACCACCCAGGGTTCAACCAGCCCTGGCAGGGATGGGGTTAATGCCCACTGATCCCTGGAGCCCGTTTCTCCAAGCTGTGGAAACAAGAGGCTCTGATGGTTAGAAATGTGTTTTCCCAGGGGGAATATTTGTTCAGTCCCACGGCAGCTCTGCCCATGGATTGCCCAGGATCCAAACAAGCTCCTTCCCTGGAGAGTGATCCTTCCACCAGGGCAGGACTGGAATCAAGGTCCCGAGCACCTGGTGGCTGGTTTTGGGAAGGGAACTGGCCCCGAGGGGGGATGCAGCCATGGGGAACTGGGGTGAGCAGCACAGGAAAGGGCAAAGCACACGGGGAAGGGACAGGCTGCACCAGCAACCCCAAATCCTCCCACTGTGACACCAACAGGGAGTTGCCAACCCCACTCTGTCCTCCCTGTAGAGCCAGAGGCAACAGGAAAGACTCACCTCCCCAATTCCTTCACCACATCTGTCCCAGCACGGAGGAGCTGCTCCTGCTCCTGGCAGACACCCCCTGAGGTCACTGCCCAGCCCCTGCCATCCCTTCCCCCTGACCTTCAGCTCCAGTTACAAGATTTATGCTCCAGCTGCTCCCTCCCAGAAGGCACCAGGCTTCTCCTATGGGTTACCTCACCACACACCCCCTTCCCACTCCAGGGACCTGGGGAAGCAGCCAAGACTTCCAAAAAAAACCCTTTCCTGCAGGTCTGTGCCCTGCTCCTTCCCTGCCCGAGTGTGGCGGGGACAGAAGAAAAGAGCAGCTACAAAGTACAGCTGGAAATGGAAATGGCAGAGATTTCTTTTCCATCACTTTCCAAGGCAGCAAACACTGCAGAGTGTTTACTGACAATATCTCCACTCCCCACGTGCTTCTCGCTCCTCCACTCCCAGTGTTTGCAGACAAAGAGGGAGCTGGGGCAGCTTTGCAGCCCAAAGCCAAGGAGGGGGGGACGTGGCCCCATGCCAGGGCCCAGCAACACCCACTGAGCAGTGTGGGGACAGCCTGGCAGTGCCACCTCAGCCCTGCAGGAGCTGATGTCACCCAGGCTCCTGCTGGCAGCCTATCCAGTGGAACACGAGGCTGCAGGACAGGAGAGGGGCCCTGGCGAGGTGCCTGGCAGAGGTGCCCTGCAGGGTGTCATGAGCCTGTCCTGGCACGAGCTGTGGGAGAAAGGGGCAGCCTGTGCCAAGGTGACAGAGGACAACCTGTAGCAAGGTCACACCTGTAGCACACCGGTAACACCACGTGCCTGGGTGACTTTGAGGAGGAAACTCTGTCCCTGGTTCCTGCTGGCTGCTCGTGGTGTGCACCAGGGACTGGCAATGCCAGCATCCCACCCTGCCCCTGCTCATTCCCAGGGCTACTTCCTGTGCTTCTTCTTCTTCTTCTTCTTCTTGGGAGCCTTGGAATGCTTGCTCCTCTTGCTGGAGGGCTGAGCCCCCGAGCTGTCCGAGTCCGAGCTGCTCGAGTCTGACTCTGAGGACTCCTTTGCCTTGTGCTTCTTTTTCTTCTTCTTCTCCTGGGAAAACAGATGGAAAACATGTGGGAACATTGTCACCTGTGCTCAGCAGGGCAGCAAGGGGCTTTGTGTCCCTGTGCCTCACAGCTGTTCCTGCCAGGAAAGGGCACTGTGCCCCAGGAGGCAGGAGTTAACCCCCACAGCTGCAGGAGCCAGGGACAGGGGATGGCACAGACCAGAGCAGGGGGGAGCAACATGGAAAGCCAAGCCTGGAAAGACTTAGACCAAAAGGAGAGTCCCTGCCCTCACTCCACGGTGAGAGCTCACTCCATTAGTTAAGGTTGATCTTTATTTATACAAGTTGGAAGGATGAAGCTTTTTGCCCAAAAAACGGGTTTCTAAAATAGCCATGAGCACCATCCCTGCACCCTCACCCCGTCAGCAGCCCCCAGAATGCCAGGAGATGGTCAGTGATGTGCTGGAGCTCTCCCAACACAGCTGCTCCTGGCAGGGGAGCCCAAGCTGTGCCCATCAGAGCTTCCTGCAGCCGGGATGAACCCAGTGCCCTCCCAGCACCCACGGCTCTGGGCACAACCT